TAATATATAACATAATATCCCAAAATCTGCACTTCAGGAGCAGCAGTAACTTCACATGCTCACAACCCCTGTTGAACTGCCTCTTCATTCCCAGCTTGCAGTTAGCTACTATTTCACCAAGCAAACCTCCTCAGACATGGCTCCAGTCTAACACCACGGCCAAACCAGCTGTTTACTCCCCGAGATAGCTGGGCTGTAACCAAACACCCCAGCTTGGCCAGCTGCCATGGGGACTGCAGCACTTTGCAGCTGTGTTCCAGTTCATAAAGGTGGATCCTGTGGTTATTTCAGCCGCCCCTTCGCTTCCAGCGACCCTGAGATGTGGAAATTCACCTGTGGGTTAAATATGTTAAATAAATAGTGCTTGCACCTTCCCAACAGAGTTTCCCAGCTGATGGTGATGCCAAGGATGCTGCAGAGCAGGGCCACACTGCCTGTGCACATGTGTTGCCTGGCTCAGGATTCCCCTCCTTTCCCTCATTTCCAGCTTGCTGCAGTGTAACCATAAAACCAGGCAGAACCATCAAAAGCACTTCCAAGAAATCAATGCAACCAGAAAAAAACTGGGTTGGAAAACAAAATCCATTCTGTTTCCTTCACTGGAAAGGTTTGCTGGAGCTGCCTGATCAGACAGCCTTCTGTAAATCAATGTATTAGTAGATCCTGCTTCTCTTAGCCAAGCTTTGTAATATGGTTGCCCATACGGGGTGGAGGGCATATTCATATGGCCAAAGGCAGAAATGCTGTGAGACATTTTTCTTCCCACGCAGGAGCAGAATCTCTCTGTCTCTGAGGTGCACAGCAGAGGATCCAGGTTTTATCCTGGTCTTCAGAGCTTGGTCCCCAGGGATGGCAAAGGAAACTCTTCCTGGACAGCAGATTTGTGCAGCTTTCCAGGCTCTGGCAGGAGGTAGGACCCAGCCAACAGAAGCAACAAAATTTATGCTCCCTTTTCTTACTTAGCCACTTTCTAGTCAGGAGCTTGCTTTGATGCTCACGGCTTGCTTCAGAGCCCTGGAAGCCAGATGCTTTTCCCTGGAGCCTCCAGGCTTGGTTCCAGCTTGAAACCCCTTCTGCTAGACTATCCCCTGCACTATCCACCCCCCAAGTGCCCCCCAATTACCAGCAGCTTAGCACAACCTCAGGAGCTATCGGTTAGCAGTGATGTGCTGGCTGCTGGCCTGCCCACAAATATCTATATTTCACAAATAAAACAGGTTAATTTAAGCCACCACAGTCTGCAATAGTTTGACAGCTCCCTAAGAGTCCTTGTAAAGCTAAGATTTACGAAACATCAAACTTGCAATATATCGTAATGCTCTATAGACCTTTTAAATACAGTGGTCTGGCCAAGATGTATCTGGCTTTAGTCCTCTGCTCAAAGACAGAAGCGGGGCCAAAAAAAGTGAATACTGAACAACCAAAGGGGTTCCTGAGACTATTTTACTAAAATAATTTCAATCCAGACGATACGTAAAAGATGGGTCTTTTGAGAAAGATGGTACCCTTCCCTTCATTTAAGAAGCAAATGCTCACAACAAACATGCTCTGACATCTCGTGAGTCCTGCAGCAAAGCAAAAAGTAGAAGCCCTAAGTTTGTACGTTAATTGCATAATAAGAGGTACCTGAGTTCAGACTTGTACAGTCAGTTCTGCCACACCCACGAGTGTGTTTATTTAAAACACATCAGCCTTGACTACAAGGACTCACTAGCACAATAAAAGAAAAAAACTCCATAATTCTCTTTTTATGTCTTGTTTGGTAAATGTCAAATCCTTGTTTCTGTTCTGGGTGCATAATTTTCCACTGTTCCTGAGAAGTGCCAGTGGGTCTCAGGAGCTTGTTCTGTGAAGACACAAACTGGAGTCTGAGGAGCCCTGAAATGCAGAAAATGGGTGCCTGATGTGGAGCCCCTGTTGCGGTGTGACAAACATCACCGCTTAGTGGCAGCCAGAGGTCTGGATTAAAAACAAACCTGCTCTGTCCACATAGAGCAGAGCAGGGAATTGCTCAAGGCTTCCCAGCTTGACCTGCTCTGGTCTCCGTGGCTGCAGAAGGTTCCCACTGGGCAGCATGGAGAGGACACCAAAGAACTTGCAGGGGACAGAGAAATGAAGCAGAGGGGCCTCTGATTTTAAATAGCCAGCTAACTCACCAAGGTAACCTCCTAACCAGGCCTCACAGGCAGCAATGAGAACGGTGGGGAAAGCATTTAGCATCTCACCTCACAAAGCTGCACCACCACCACAGGTGGAGCGTGACATGCAGAAGGCCCAGGAGGAGACTATTTTCTTTTCCCGGTCCCGTCACATGCTGTAGGTCAAGGTTATAATGCAAAGTTGAACCCCACACATACCAGAGCTGGTATCTGTTGACTTTCACAGCTGATTGTTTTGGAATAATAATTCATATTTGCCTTCCTGGATACAGAGAACTGAATGACAACTTGGATTAGCACTGCGCAGCCTTGCCCTGAGGACTTGTTCTTGATGAGTAAAACCACCACCTCTGCTACTGAGATCCTCTGCTTTGACACCCCTAAGGGCAGAGGGCAGAACACAGAATATTTTCTAAGCATCAGTTGTGAAAAATCACTTCTCTTTCCGGTCCTACACCGGGCAGGCAATCAGCTCATTCCTCTTGGTCAAGAAAGCCAGCTATTTAAAACACGGTCACCCAGGCTAGCCTGATGCAAGCACAGGCTGCTGCCCTAGTTAGGAGTTCCCTGGTGCAGGGCAAATTAAATCACTGTAACACAATATGTGATTCAGGAATGATCAGCATGAACACTGTGACCCAGTGATGGGAAGAGCAGCATTTCACTTGACAGCAATCCTATGCCCTTATTCCCAGCATACCCACACCCCCCCTTTTTTTTTTTTTAAGGTGATCTTTGGCTTTTGTTCTCCACGTCTTTTGCATTTGATGCAAGAATTTGAGACTTAGCTGAAAATGGTATTTTTAGAAAGGTGAACATTGATGACTGACTTTTTTCTAGCAAAGGTCAGCTGCAGGAGAGGAACAACACAATCATGCACTGCTTGGGACCTAAGCTCCTAAGAGGAGCATAAGTCATGGTGAAAGGAACATCAGCTCATCTATCCTGGGGAGTACCAAAAACATGTGAGATGGCATAGGACCACATTATCCATACTCAGGAATCCCCGTACTGCCAGCATAACAGATTCAGGGGAACAACTACTACTTCATTTACAGCAATGCTGCCAAAGAGCCCCTCTGGCCAGTAAGCAATTGCATAGACCAGGAAACCCATCCACACCACACTTCTCAGCCCACAAAATCCCAAGGGCCCTCCATTCTCACTTTTCAGAGAAAATCAGAATTGGTGTTTTAACACATTTAGCTAGACTCTTCTCAGAGCTCTTCAGTGAAAAAAACCCAAACAAAACCAACCAACCAAGAGGCAGTAGATAAGATGCAATAGGGACACTTCAACTAGTAAAGAAAATACCCCACAGTTCTCAGTAACAAGGGTGGTCAAATGTTGAATGGATCAATCAAATGTTGAAAGTGCAGTCTCTACTCCAGGAGATACCCAAATCTTCCCCCAGCAAGGCACTGGGTAACTAGGTCTAACATCAAAGCTTGCCCTGTTTCAGTGGAATTGGACCAGAGACCTTCAAATGTCATAGAATCATAGACTGGTTTGGTCTGGAAGGTACCTTAAAGATCATGTAGTTCCAATCACCCTGCCATGGCTGGTTGCTCACAGCCCCATCCAACCTGGCCTTGAACACTACCAGGGAGGAGGCAGCCACAACATCCCTGGGCAACCTGTGCCAGTGCCTCACCACCCTCACAGTAGAGCATTTCTTCCTTACATCTAATCTAAGTATTTCCTCTTTCAATTTAAAGCTATTACCCCTCATCCTATCCCTACACTCCCTGATAGAGTCACTCTTCACCTTCCTTGTAGCCCCCTTTAAGTACTGGCTAAAGTACTCTGCTCTAAAGTCTCTCTGGAGCCTTCTCTTCTCCAGGCTGAACAACCCCAACTCTCTCAGCCTGTCCTCACAGGGGAGGTGCTCCAGTCCCTGATCATCCTCGTGGCCTCCTCTGAACCTACTCGAGAAGGTCCATGTCCTCCTTATGCTGGGGATCCCAGAGCTGGACACAGCACTGCAGGGGGGGTCTCAGCAGAGCAGAGAGAGAGAATCCCCTCCCTCAACCTGCTGGCCACACTGCTCTTGGTGCAGCCCAGGATACCATTTGTCTTTCCAGGCTGTGAGGCATGCTGCTGGATCATAGTTTTCCATCCACTGATACCCCCAAGTCCTCCTCCTTGGGGCTGCTCTCAATCCACTCCTCACCCAGCCTGTATTTGTGCTTGGGATTGCCCCAACCCACGTGCAGGACTTTGCACTTGTCCATGAGATTCTCATGGTCCCACCTCTCCCGCCTGTCCAGGTTCCTCTGGATGGCACATCCCTTCCCTCCAGCGTGTCGACCACACCACACAGCTCGGTGTCATCCGCAAACTCACTAAGGGTGCCTCAATCCCACTGTCCATGTCACCAATATGGACAGTTAACAGCACTGGTCCCCACTCCAACCCCCGAGGAACATCCTTCTGTGATCTAAACTGTCTTGATTTACTGGACTAGACCTTGACTTGGGATTTTTCCAGACAGAAGACAATGGGTAACAGGAAAGAGATCTAAGGTCCCCTAGGCAAGAACTTGCTTGGAAAATAGGTTGGTTTGGTATTATGTTTTAGCCTCACAGGAGACAAACACTGCCAAAGCACTCTACAAGAGTTTTCTGTCCTAATGGAAAGAGGAATATACACAGAAAGCAAGTCCATAGTGTTGTGCTCCTAGGGAGAGGAAAGATGCAGACTTTAACAGGCACAAACACCACCCCGGTGCTTGCCAGAAAGATGATAAACAGTTCATTAGATCCTCTCTGGGTCAGATATTCAAAGTCAAAACCAGAGTTAAAACAGTCAAAAACAAAGTTAAAAAAACACAGATGAAGTTTGAAATCACTTTATTGAAAAATTTCATACAAGAAGAATCAGTGGCAAAAATATTCAGGTGTGATACAGCAACACCACAGTCAAGTTCCTTACACATCTCAAGCTTAGGCTGATTCCTTTACAGCCACTCTCTCCACATACTCAGCTTTCCAGAGACAAGTGCAGCATCCTGTCATGTCAGTGAGTTTCAGCGCAGCACAGGAAGCAGAGTCTGTCTTGACATCAAATAAGATTAGCTATGACTCTGATTTTTCCTGTGAGAGGTATGAAAGACCCTGTAGGTCTGTTGAGAGTGCCATTTGCAACAGAAGGCATCATTCCCACCCACCCCAGCTCATTCAAAACACTGACTGAAAGTCTGTAACAAAATATTGTGCCAATAAAAATCTTTTAGAAAACTAGTATAAAAATTTGCTATATATAGCATAAAACTATGAAAAAGTGACTGTGCCAATTTCCCCTTTATACAAATAGGTTTGTTTTTTGTTTGTTGGTTGGTTTTTTTTTTTTTAAATCACATTGCATTAGAAATTCACACAACATATTGCATCTTTCTGAAATACTCTGTGCAGTAGAAGCCCCATGGGCAGTTACAAGACAGACCATTAGCTCCCCTTTAGTTTCTGCTGTCTCTACAGTAGCTGCCAAGAATTTGGCTCTCACAGTTTTAGGATTCAGAAAGCAGAAAGCTGCAAGATGGCAAACTAAGTGCTTGTAAATCAGTACCATTCCTCCTCAGACAGGAGAAAATCCATCACAGAAATCTCTTGATTAAAAAGATATTACATATTACTTGGTGGTGGTGTCAGTGAGCCAATACAGCTCTGACTGTTTCTGTGTCAGTTTTTATTTGCAGTGTGCCACTTCATGTGCCAGAGAGGTACCTGCAGCATCTTTCAGTGATTTCTGGTCTAATAAGAACACACATCCGAGCCACAGGAGCAAATAAATTGTCAGTTTTGTTTCATAAAAAAACACTGACAGACACAGGGTTGTCAGCCTGCTGCCTGGAAAGAATTAACATTGATCCCAATTCAGTTTTCAGCAACCGGGGAGTGTTACATAGAGCAATCACTGTCTTGCCGCCTACTTTTCCAGGCACAAGATTCAAAGCCCCTGCAGCCTTCCTGCACAGCTGTGCAGGTAAGGAGCTGAATCCCCAGGGATTGAAGGTACTGTCGTGTGTGAAACCCACTCTGTATTTGGTCACTTAATCTTCTCAAATAACTCAGCAAGAACTTAGTTACTCTTTGCATAACCTTGGAGAATACCAGGAGTGGGCTTTGTATTTGAGGACATATGAATCAGGCGACTTGCTTCTCTTAAACAGCAGTAACCCATTCAGACAGTTATTGTAAGGATTTTTTTGTTAGGGGGGATTTTTGTTTGCTTTCTTTAACAGAGAGCTGGCAACAGCCAGAGCCCCTCCCTGTACAAAGCGTACAAAGTTATCTCCAGCTAGAGGTCCTAGAGCATAAAGCCCTTTCTCCTGAGTACATTCATAGGTGAATGGGTCAACATCTATGGGGTTCCTCTTTGGATTGACTGGTTGGTCACTGTCCATTGCCAAGTCAATGCCGTTATTTGGCAGAAAGGAGAGGTTGGGGTTTGAGCCAGTTAGAACAAGAGCCATGGAAATTTTATAAACTTTCTGGTAGCCATTCTTGTCTTGAAAGATACATTTCTTGTCCTTGCCAAAGGATAGCACATGATGTTCAGGAAGGCTAACGTAACATTCATAGGGCCCAGCACAATCAGCTGACTGTTCCTTCATCATCTGATGGACTTTGTGGTATTCAGGGTACATCATTTTGGGGAGCTGGTTAAAAATAAGACCTGGATCACTGACTCTTCTCCGAAAAACATGGATGACAGGAATATTGCAATGGTGAGCAAAGAGAATTGCATCAGCAGCTGTCAGACCAGCACCTACAATCAAGACTGGATCTGACATGATGCCAATGCTGTTGTCTTTCACTGCTTCCTCTAGGGCAGACAGCTGGTGATGGACATAGGAAAGGTTCTCTCCCTTGACCCCAAGCCAAGTAGGACTATCGTATGTTCCTGTAGCTAAGACCACATTCTCTGCATAGATGGAAAAGGACTCTTTATCACCTTTCACAGTTTTGAAAAAACCATCCACCTGAAAGACCTCTGTATTTTTCTCATTGGTGTTCCAGAGTGAGTCACTGTTCTCCTGCAGATCTTTCTGTCCATGGTTGGAGATGCTCTCTGCACTCACTTTCCTCACAGAGGTCACAGCGGTACCACATCTGAAATTCTTCTGCAGTCCTTTCTTCATCACATAGTGTTGGTAATATTGAGCAATGTCTTTTGCTGTGGCTCTATTGTTTCTGAGGCCTCTGTAATATAGTACAACCAAAGGTCAAGAAGCAGTTAAGTAACAGATGGGAATTTTTCCCCTCTTCCAGTGAATGTATCCTAGAGCCATCTATCCTGACACTACCAGAGAAGACTTATTTAGTTTCCCTGACTTCAGCAAAGTTATTCCTGGTATACAGAGCTAACACTCAGGTCCACAAGCTGTTGAACAGAAGCAGCTTTCTCTAGCATTGATCCCATCCCTAAGAACACAGGTGCTCATTTATGCCTTCCTCTCACATCCCGCTTCCATTCCATTTTTAACTCCTAGACTTTTTAAGGCTGTTACACATCTCAAGAGCAGAAGCACCTCAGGGACTGCACAATAGCTGAGCTGATTATACTTGTCATTAAGGACAGCAGTTGTAGACGGAGAAGTCAGATGACCACGCCTTTTCCAAGCTTTATTAAGAACTCATGGCCACTGTGATCCATCTCCCCAGTGGGTGTTGATAAGGACACAGTCCAAGAAGCACTGCAACTTTATCTGCATCACTAAATGCAGAATGAACTTTTACTGGGAGGTGAGAGGGTCTCCTTTCTCTTGCTAGAATCAGCCATAACAGATGGGTAGCTACATTCAAGAAGTTCACTCCACCCCAGGTTCACAAATAACCTCCAGATGTTTGCAAATAATCACACCACAGATATCTTACCTTCTCTTTTGCTTTAGCCAGTCTTTGAATGGGAGATCTGGGAGTCCCATCCATTCCCCTCTGCTCAGGGTAACCATAGAGCCCTCAATAGACTGGAACAAGAAACACAGTAAAAATTACTTTAAATGTTATTTAATGCAAGAAGTGAAATGCAAGTTTGTCATGTTTCAATATGGCACAGATCATGAAATCAGTGATTTCCTCTGTCATGGAGGAAACCATCAAACCATCCATGTTCTCCAAAAAGAACAGTGGACTGGACATATAAATGCCTCTCATGTTTTTCTTCCCTTTAAACTTTTTCTTGTCTATATACACAAAATCAATTGTGGCTGACTGGCATATTAGAGGAGCTTTTGCCCCTCCAGTCAACACATTTGGCTATCTTACAACAGGAAGACCCAAATAGTTAGGCTTCAATTCACATACATGCCAGGCACCTCCAGGAGCATTCCTGCCAAGGACCAGGTGGGGGATGGCTCTGTCAGTCTCATGCCACCATGTGAGGACAGATTCTGCTGTTCCACCAAAGTCCGTGTCTGGACGCTGAAGAGTGTCAAACAGAAGAGCCACAGGGCTGTGGGATCGTCCCTCCAAGCCTTCAGACAGATACTCCAAATCCTAAAAAGAGAGGCAGAGCAGATGCTCAAAATCCATGTCCTGCCAGGCAGCAGATTGCTTGTTACTCCAGTATTTCCAAGCAGTGGATCTGGTGTCCTGTGTATCTCATTTACTGGCACAAGCACAAAGATCCTGTTATTGCCCGAGGACTACCTCAAGCATCTTAGCAGCAATGCTGGCATTTCATACAGGCAGATCTGAACAACTAAAAGCACTTTGCTTAAAGCTCATTCTGTCTGTATACTTTAAAAATTCAAAGGAGGTTATTATGTGTAAGATACCCCTAGGATGTTTTACTGTGATGTTATACTGTTTCTCTTTACACAAACCTGGTCCAAAATGGAGACATCTGGTGCCTCTTCCAGTTTCCTCTGGAGAATGGGATGAGGATGGGGAGAGTCTCTTTTGAAGTAAGGGGTATAGCCTGACAGCAAATATGACAGACAGATTCCCGAAGGTCCATTCCCTAAAAAGATGCAATGGAGAAGAATTTATATTCCTGCAGATAGAGCAAGCCTTTGAGCAGTGTTTCTAATATCCAGACCAATTCAAAGGATTAACACTGCTGTGGATACAGGGGACTTTATTCCAGATTGACCACTGACCTACTGGATGGAGTTGGGGAAGTCATTTTACCCTGATATGTCCCCTTTTCCTCCTCAGTTGCATCTAATTGCATTGAAAGGTCTTCAGAACTTATTGAAAGCCAGAGGTTAACCTCACCTGAAGCTTGAAGTCTCTACCATGCTGATGAATGGAGTTACTGCTCATTAACCTCTTTAAAGGTTTAGAAACTGGCCACATACTGACTGGGGGCCTCAGCTCTCCTGGATGCACTTTTCACACCAGTGCAGACTAGTTCATTGGGCAGAGGGTACAGAGTAGGTCCAGAAAAGAGGGTGACTTGTCTATATACACAAAATCAATTGTGGCTGACTGGCATATTAGAGGAGCTTTTGCCCCTCCAGTCAACACATTTGGCTATCTTACAACAGGAAGACCCAAATAGTTAGGCTTCAATTCACATACATGCCAGGCACCTCCAGGAGCATTCCTGCCATTGAAGTGAAGGGGAAACAGCCCTGCTCAGTAAGAAATCCTGTCTAATAAGGGATATTTGGCAATAGCAGTTTTGACTAACTGGTCTTGAGGAAACTTTCAAATGGGAACCAGCCCTACCACGGTACTGCGGGCAGTGTACTAAGGAAAAAAGGTTCTCTGCCATGCTGAGACAATCCCCCAAAATACAGCACTTCAAAGGGATTGCTAGATGACTGAATTCCTCCTGCTGACCACCCAACAGCCAGTGGAAAAACTTGATATATGAGACTCCAGAGGCCAGTGAGAGTAACCCATGGAAAGTTTTCACATGGCCGTTCTCCAGCACGTTTAATATTTTACAGTGCCTGCATAACTAGGTGTCAGCCTCTCTGGCAGCTCAGACTTTGCTGCTTACTAGTATGTGACTAACTACCATTACATAATGCAGTGACGATCTAGAAGAGGAGAGCTGCAGTGACACAGCAGCCTGTGCTGCATGTGTGAGCAACTGGAGCAAAGGCTGCTTCTTGGGGATGTGAGACAGAGGGAGGCTCAGGCTGTAAAAGCTAACAGTGAGCTGAGCTATGCAAAGGGCAGTGTGTGCGGCAGCTGGGGCCAAAGTCTGCTGTGCTGAGCAAGGACCAGCTGCTGCAGGTCAGTGTTTGGAATATTCCACTTGCAGGAAAGTTATCCAAAACCAACAGCAGCAGAAATTAAAAGCAAACTAAACCACAGCTATAGTAAAATACAACACTTCTCAGTTTTCTTCTTTGCTTTAGGAAGTACAAGGAGGTACCTAAGACAAATTTAATCAGCTGAGTGCATGACACTTAGCAACACACAGAGAGGATTTACTCCGAACCACATCCAAGTTTGATATGGATGGTCACAAATACAGTTGTCTCTGGGGCTCAAACTATTCTAGAAAGCAATTGCTTTCATGAGGCTGCCGGCACAGCAGAGAGCCCACAACCTTCCTGGAGCAGGGCCTGGGGAAGTAGCTAGGACCTCCATGCAGTATCCAGCTGCACCGAAACAGCTGAGTTACTTCAGTCCAACAGGCTCCTCGTAGTGCACATCTTCACACTGGTGCTTCTGAGGCTTTAGTGACACCTCCACACTGGATCCCTGTATAGGTGCACTATGGATGTACCAAAATATCCTCCCTCTCACCTAAAGACTTGTACAACTGGGCAGTACAAAGCCACTCTCAGACTAGCACCTGCTGGTAGTTGTGTCCTTGTCAAACTCACTGTTAGCAAGGATTAAGCATGATTTGTGTGGTGCACTAACTTAGGACTTGCTCTCTTGGGTGCTATTAGATGACAGGGAAGGAACCCAGCTCTACAAAGCATTTAAACACATGCTCAGATGAACAGAGTCCAGCACCTGTGCTCAAGCACCACACATGATCCATCATCAGAGAAGGCACTGACATCATACTTGTGCTTTGCTCCAAGATTCACCCCACATTACAAAGCTCCCCTCTTGCAAGGGAGACAAGATAGTTACTACACAACTTGTTTTCTAAACAAGCAAAAACCCACAGCTTTTTACCATTCTGTTAAATCTGTACAACATCAGTGTAGCTGACTTGCATTTTAAAAGAAATCTGTGAAAGATTTCAAGAAACTCTTAACAGTATCTGGAATACTTTCTAAACACACACAATGGGGAAGAAGAAGATCACACAAATCCACCTCCAATTCAAGCACTACAGATAATCACTTCACAGTGAGCTGAATAACTATCTGTAGTGAAAAGGTTTCAAATCCTTCTAAAAAATCAATGGAGAAAAACCAGGCTCAGCCAAACTGATATTCAAAAGGTTACCAATTTTGCTAGTTAAAACAAAAAAAAGAGGTATGTGTATTAGTTTCTCAAATACCTAGTTACCTACTTTCCACAACTCTTAATGGTCTTTCTCTTAGTACTAGAGAAACACTGTCTGTCAGGGAAGGGATGCAGAAGCAGTGGTCAGGCATTTCTGGTTTGATTAAGAACATGTGGAACAAGAGCTGCAGACAGCAAGTCCAAAGCAACAACAGCACAAGGGAACACAGTTACGCTGGCAGGAGAAAGCTTACCTATGATCACAACAGGCAGTGGCTTAAACCCACTTTTATTTTGGGGTCTAGTCAACAACGCATGCATCTTCCAGTCCGGAAGCATTTAGGTCCTGGAGCCTTCCTGTTAAAACAAGTAAGTTTTGAATTATTTGTTTTTTTGACAAAAAAACCCAACCCTGTGACTTTCTACAGCCCACAAACCTGGATTGATTTAAAGTATTATCCTTGCGCTGTAGACCATCACATTACGCTTCCACACTCAGGACAGGCCTATTTATCTTTTTTGCCTCCTGCCACCAAAACTGAAGGATGATTCCCTGATTATCCACCACAGAAAGGAGATAACCCTTATCTCCTCTTCTGTACATGAATTCCAGTCTCTCCAGAACAACTGGCAGCTTTAGTAACCCTCTGACTACAGTAACTGAAGTACTGAAGCTTGTTACTGAAAACTTCACTTCTGCCCATACTGCGCAGAAAATTACCATAATTAACATGAACACTTCATACTTTCTAAAGCAGCTTGCACATTTAGTGATAAGTAGAGGAAACCTCACTCAAGATTTCTGCCCAAAGGCTGGAAATCTCCTGGCTGCATTTTCAAATATGTACCATTCCATCACTACAAGGTTTTTTGATAAGTGGTAGTTTAGTTCCTGAACATTCTTTCTTAATTTTCCAGAAAACAGAGTTCTAGGTCTGAACAAATAAATAACAACAAATCTTTAAACAACATATACATCATAATTATCTGGGAGACTAAGGTCTCATTAGAGTAGAATTTACATAACTAATCATTATGCAGATATTCAATGAACAGTGAATCAAAGGGTTTTGCTATTCCTGTAGGAATCCTACCATGTCAAACAATGACTACTTTAGTTTTCCAGGGAATTCAACTATATCGTCACTAGTCTAGAGAAGTTGTTATTTTTACCACAATAAACACAAGATATTTGAAATTCAGCATAAGCTTTTAAATTATTCTACAGATAAAAGTCTTCTATAAAACCATTATTATCATTTTGAAAAGCTAAGTAAAAATCCACTGAATGGCATGGCTTTGTTCAGTAGGGCATGTTCTCCACACCCTTTTCAAGCACAGAAAAATCTTTGGCAAGTGCACTGCACACTTCCATGAGGTCTGGCACGTCACTGCCTTTGACACAGGTATTGCAGCAAATGTTATCCTACAAGTGTAATGCTCCACTTTAAGCCTGACATTTACATCACCAGCAACTACAGTAACACAGTAAGACCCCGGTGATTGAACGAGCAGCCAGAAAACCACAGGCAAGTTTAGGATTTGTAGAATCCCAGGCTTCAGGAGGAGTCTTGTAAGTGCATTTGCCTGCAAGGATGTGACAGTTCCCATACACACCAATATACAGCCATCACTGGGCTAGGCAGAGCTATTCCAAGAGGACTGGGTTCATCCAAGTAAAGAGGCACATAATAAAGCTTACAGGCTGAATTCAAAACTAGCAGCTTCAACCACATTTTTGGATCACAGTTTAATAACACACATTGGTTGCCTATTACTACTTAACTAAGCATTAGTCTAAGACTCCCATGCATTTTACCTGACAGGCCAAGAACCACTTAAAAGACATAATAGTCATGCTTTCTAATTTAAGTAATTCCAAGCATCTAGCTTTGAAGAGAGTTGGATTTCAAGCAAACTTAGGTTCCCTGTTTATTTGAGACTCAAAGGTAGATGCATACAGTACAGAAGATGAACGTTTCAGTGTATCATGTCCATACCAAGGCATGTGTCAACTCCTTAAGGCGTATTGAACCCAACCCTGGCAGCTGCAGGAGCACAGCCTAACTGCCCAAGTATTTCCCCAGCCTTTGGGTAGGTTCTACCACATGAACCAAAACCTGTACCACCTTCAAGCAGATTGTTGTGTAAATTTACCCCCAAATAATCCACTACCCCAAAGCTCCAGAGTTGGAATTGGTAGAATTCCACAGTAGCACCTCGGATAGTCAGAGACACCAAAGGAACAGGACAATGGTGTGAGCAGTAAAGGCATTCCACTCAAACCAGCTAAACCACACTACCTATCTGAAGGTTAGCAGAGGTTTCTTCTCCATGGTAACAAAGAAATCCCTCTCCATGGCTGTACTACACAAGAAGACAATTTCCTAACACAGAGCGCACGTCTTATTTCTATGAAACTATTGGGAGTCTGAAAGAGGGAAGGAAGATCTCTGGAAGCGATGTTCCAGGCTTCTGCTCCATAGCAGTCTGCAGCAGCAAGCACAGAAAGACCGTATGCACTCTGTAGACAGCAGTAACCCAGGTACATTTGTGGGACTTTTGCTGGAAGCAAGGACTGCTGAACCAATCCAGTATGGCACACAGCAACAGTTCCAGGAGAGCAGCAAAGCCAGCATATAAATAAGAAGCCTGCAAGTCCATTTGTAAAACTTGGGTGCAAAGTCATGCCATTGTGTGCTAGCATTTTTCTGGGGCAGCCTTATGGGGACAAAAAAGGCACAAGACAGTAGAAGTCAGCCTGGCAGTCCTGTTTGCTTTAGAGGAAGGTTGTCTTGGCTCCTAGCTGTTGTGCCACCCTACCCCACCCTGATAGAGAGCAAAGCCAGCAGCCACGGGCTCAGTGATAACGCTCTCATTTCACCCTCCTCCTCCTCCATTCTGTACCTTCTGACACATGAAAAAGGAGCATTTAATGGAATTAAACAAAACCATAATGGCTAGAGGAGCACAACTGTTAGTGCTCACACACACATGACCATTTTATTCAGGATCTGGGTTCACAAACCTCCAGAATGACCATTTTAGTGCTATGTGCTTTGTTTCCTGAAGTTTTGACATGGGGCAATTCTATCAACAAAAGATTAACCATCAGAGATGCTTCTTTTCTAACATGTCTCTACTAAGGGGAGAAGTTCCTTTCACATCCTATAGCTACCATCTCTAATTCATAGTTAGTAATTCTTCTTAGCTAGAAAGTCAACCAGATGCTGAACCTCGTTTTAGCCTACAGGATGGACATGTTTGACTTCTGGGGGTAAATCCGAGCTCGGGGCATCTCAGACATTTGAGTTTCAGGCCAAATGTTTACTTTTCCTGCCTTCAGAAATAAAGGTCAGTTATTGGGGGTTTTTTTGGCAGTCTTAGAATCAAGGGACCACATATACTTTTATAACCTGTACAGCTAATACAGTGTAGCAGATGAAAGCCTGTTCTTGCAGAGGCTATTGGAAAGCATACAGGACACTGAAGTTCATTTCCAATCTGTACGGAACTAGTTAGCAGCAAGAGAAAGCCTGAGCTAGCAAGAAACCCAAGACTGCTCTTCTCACCTTCCTTCTATGTAGAGTAGGCTGCTGAGCACTCACACTTGGTCAGCTTAGTGACACTGATGCCTCTTGGGGCTCCTGATTTAGGCTTCCTATTTTAAATGGCTGTCTCTTTCCTCCTCTTCATTTGGGAGCACTCTACAAACTCCACAATTTATCTCCTCACTGCTTCCAAAGCATTTCAGTGTCTATGTGATGTTACATAACTGTTCTGGCTTAGAAAAGCACCCAGCTCACTCTGGGCCAAAATCTGCATACCTTCCCGACACAGCCTTAAGCCTAGAGGGACATATAAAGTCAGTCAGTGTGGCCCCTAATAGTTCCAGGCTGCACAAGTGAAACAGGTTTTAAGTGAGTAAAAGAAAAAGCAAAGATACATTTAGCAAGACAGTGACACTAAATGATCTTTAACAGAAATAAAAAGCCAAGTTACATCAGCCATATGCGATTAACTCTCCCTATAACATCAATGAGACTTTTGCTCAAGTGAGAACCAAGTGTGGCCTGTACAGCACATGCGGAGAGTTCAAGAGAGCAGTGCAGTCAGTATATAAATAATAGAAGAGACTGAGTTACCACAGCGCTCAAGTTTAAACAAGGACAATTCTAACACAAATGCAACAGCTCTTCAGCTTCACTTCTTCATCATCCCATTCATTTCACCAGCAGTTTTAAAAATTTAATTCGTTAGTGCTTAAACACCACCACCCCCTCTCCCCAGAAGTGTCAATAGCTTTTACAGTTCATACTTTCCTACAAGTTTCAGAAGTTTGTTCCCGTGTCACTGCCCCCCCCCCCATCACTCTTACATGCCAGGCCAGTTACCCCACAAACACAATTAAAGTATTTGGAAAAATGTCAACTTTATGGTACATAAAAATAATATATTTCTAAAACCAGCCCTGTGATATTCAGAAAGCAATGTTACTGTATGCCAGAGCTCTCTACATTTACTTACAACCTTACCTTTAGCAGCCAGTCAAAGGAGAAGTGCCTGTAGTCAGGAAAGCCAGGCAAAGTACGAGCCTTGAATCCTGTCTCTGCTTTAAGACAGTGGTTTAAATATAGTAGGCTAGTAGCACTAGGAGACGAGAGGGGAGGAGGAGCTGCAATGAATGGAGGCGGAGCAAGGAAAATACTTATAAGCATGAGTCAGCAAGACTGTTTCCCTTTCCAGCTTGTGAATGAAAGAGGTAGTGATCTTCCTTCGTAATGTTCAGCTGACTGCATGACTACATCAAAAGCAGGCTTATAGAAGCCATATGTGGCAGAAGTCCTGCACTGAACAGATATCTTAGTTTTTAACCCTCGGAGTAAATTAAAACCTGAGACTTTATAAAATACAATGCTTCCTGTGGCAGATCTGGGTTCTTCCTCTGTATTTAAAAGAAAAACTGCTAGTTAGAATTACAAGTGGGAATAAAAGTGATAGGATAGCACTGTAGGCTTGCTTTAAAACTAGTGATCTTTTAGGCCACAGAAGGACAAGAAAATGTGATTACTTTCCTCCTACTTTGGACAGTTTGTGGGTTTAGTTTCACTTTAATATTATATCACAGATATAGCAGGTCTGAAAAAAAAGACTTCAGTTTATATTTTTTTCTTCGGTGGGAAAGTCTGATGAACCTGTGCACAGTAGCAGTAAAATGAGTCAGACTACTTCCTGTAAAACTTAATGCCAGGATTTTCATCCAAGGTATCTTACTCAATTCAGTGGAATAATCAATGAAGCTTGCTAAATTTAAAGTGTCCTTAACAAATGAAATAAATTTGTGCCAAAGTGTTTAGTTCAGGGGGTAAATGCAGCATATTTGTATCTCTGAGGCCATCTATTTTGAAGCTAGAATCTCCAGGGAATCAGGAGGGCTGCTGATACCCTGTCAAGATGCATACTTTCAATCATGTGATACAAAAAGATAAAACAGTTCATCAGAAGGAATTCTATACTCTCATGACTCCCAAAGTAGGATACTTCATAATCTATTTTAATTCCACCAGAATAGGTTGTTTTAATAAAAATTAAGCCATTGTTTCACTTAAATTTTAACTAACAGTGATCACTCTGAAATACTTGTCAGACCAAGAGGTGGTTTTTTAAGGTCTCTTTCAAGTTGTCTGGGCTTTTATTCATGGTAGCATATGCACAGAGCTCTTTAACTCATACTGAATTTTTGACAGGAGAAAAGCCTTTTAAATATATTATTCAGATACTTATTGGCAGGTAACAAATATATCTTTATCAGTCAATAAAAAATTAAGCTTCCAGAGAAACTAAGGCATTTGTTTGGTTAGGTGAGTCAAGACTGTCCTGTTACTAGGTTTTTGAAAAATTATCTTCAATATATTGCAGGGTTGGACTTCAGAAATTTCAGAACAAAGATGTTCAAGTCCATGCATGTTCATAGCATAGATACAAGAAAGCATATGATGGTTTGGCAGGCTTTATAAAAGTTTAGTCAGAAATACTTCCTATGTAGGCAAACATGCAGAAATAAAGTCGTCCACTATGACAAGAAGAGATCCTTTCCATTTCCTACTAGAATCTCTATTACCCCCACTAGAATCTCTATTACCTCTGTAAAGACAGACAGGATGTCATTCCAAAACCACAAGCTTTGTCATATTCTTGCACACAGTACAACTCCTTGCATGAAAATGTTAATGTATGACAATAACCCACTGTTCTTTATTTGCTTGTCCAATAAGACCATTGAATACAGCAATTTGGGGGCTTTGTTTTTACAGATATCCCAACAAAAACATGACATGGAATATATATCAATGTTACTGTTTCTCCTTGTGTACCTTATCTAGAAACAAATAATTCATCCCGACAAGGTCTGCACAAACTTTCCAGAATAGGAAGTAATTGTGCAATCTGCACTTGACCTGGCAGCCATCCTTTGACCTAAAAATTTATGCAATTCACTGGTGTTTTCTTCCTGATTTATTGCAAGCAGTAACATTCAGATTAGTTAAGTGCCTAAGTAAAAAGCTTATATAGAGATTTCCAGGATGACTTTGCACTATCTCTATTCATAGGTGTCAGAGTATGCAGTTGACTAACAATACTAACTTCTTTGCACAAACTGACAAACACATTTTATTGGTGCACAGATTTAAGGGTCTTTAGAGGGATTCAGATTTTTTTACAGAAAAAAAACTCTTCTAGACTACTAGTCTGTAGGCTCATTGATCAAGGTGTATTTCACTATACTCCAGCTGAATCCCCCATCTGTCACATAGGATACAAATAGATTTGTCAGACTTAAGTAGAAACTTTCAGCAAAATGAATTATTTGCAAGGATTTCTCCTCTGTTCTTTCAGCTTTTTCATTTTAAAAATAAAATAGAAATTTAACCTCTAATTAACATCATCCATAGAACAGATACTAAGTTAGATTTGTAAGACAACACCAAATGATTTAACAAAAGCAAGATAATCTTTATGGCTGCAGCTTGTGAAAAGCTTCTGTCTCTGAAAAGCTGTTTGTTATTTTTAAATAGGACCCATGACATTAATGAGTCCTTCAGATAATGTAAAGGATCAATTCTGTCTTTGTACTTCCAAAACCACAGGGCACGGGGTACAGCACTACAGTTGCTTTTATATGAATGAGCCTTGCACATAACATAATGGTAGCTAAGCAATTCATCCACTGTCAGTGGGTAGGGAGGAATTCAACACACTGCACCAGTCTCCACCTGAGAAGGTTTTGGCCTGCAGAAAAGAGAGGCAGGCTTCACTAGTAGTCATTCATTCCACCTTCAAGTCATATGCTCTGCAGTTCACAGTATCAGCGGTCCTGGGTGCATTTGTTGCCAAGGTCAGTTTGTTTCCTTCTAGGTCAGCCACGATATAGTTCTCAGAACTCCAACAAGTTAATGCCATGTTTTACCAAGGTAAAATCTGAAGAATATGTCAGGAAGCATGGACAGAGCCATAATACTGTTCTGGGGGAACATTTTGCACCTGAACCATCCCATATTGCAATAAATGTCCTTGTTACCAATCGACTTTTCACCTCAGGTCACTACCCATCCATGTCCTACTCATGAAACCTGTCAGATAGACAAGAGAATCAGGGCTCCTGATCTGGGGGAGCTTAAGGAGTAAGAGCGTCTGGTGTCAGAATTCATTGTTGTTACTTCTGCTGCTGACAACTCCTGGCAGAACACTTCTTACAGTACCTCTCTAGCACCCACCCTCCCCCCTAGCCAGACCTTACTCTGTGCCAATTTAACATGATATACTACATTGTTTCACACGTTAGAACTTCATGTTCTGCTGTTTTTTCATAATTAGAGGAACATTCCCAGTGTCATCCTCCATGGGCCACAGTAGTGCTTTGATGCTTTGGTGTTTCTTTCAATTAAGGTAAAATACAAATATAAAATTCTCCATGTTTTCTGCCTAAGAGAACATTAAGTGCTTCACCCCCCACACACCACCCCCTCAATTCAGATCATTTAACCTAAGGCAGAATCTCAAATTCAATTGTTAGAAAAACTGATCAAGTATTTTGGTGCTATATGGTCTCTGTGCAGCACCTAAAATCCAGATCCACTCTGTTGCTGCCTAAAGCATCTCCACCTTTTTCATACAGGAAAAGTTCCACTTACAAAACTAATTTGCTTACGCGCCAAAACTAGAACCCACATATTTAATGATAATAAATGGTTTGACATCAATATTGAAACATTTTATCTGGTTTCTTTTTGCTTCAACTAAAAAACACCCCATATTTGTCACCACCACCATAACCTGAACCCACATTAGCAGGATGCTCCCTACAGATGTTCTGGTATTCCCCAAATCATCAGCAGCAAGCTGTGGCCACTGCACCTCTGACAGAAGCTGGATCTCTGAAGTACATTACTTGCTCTGCTAAATGGCAGAGGTGAAAAGCCATAGGGAAGTCCAGATAATTGCTAGGCTTGACAGGAAAAGTAGTTTAGGCAACTTTTCAAGTGTGAGACCCAGTTCTGCTCCCAGTTATACTTGTGACTTCCTACATGTGTTTGTGCTTTCACATGGCTTCCTCTAAAGAAAGGTTTGGCCCAGAGCACATATCCTACTTTCCTGTGGCCCTGCCAAGGCCATATCTGTCCTGTGTTCATACTTTGTTTTGCAGTGTTTAGGCAGATGGGTCCAAGGGGAGAAAAGTAAAGGTTCACCACACCAGTTGTTATTCAAAAGAACATTGACCTCCCAGTCAGATAAATGATTGAAATGATTTTGTCCAAGTGACCTGAAAAATTGTCTGAGGAAAGTAAAGAGCAAAACTTTGCTGGAACTATTTTAAAACAGTGAATTTTGCTTTTCTCTGCTCTCAAGTCATTAACTTGAAATCGTTCTCTGTTTGTTCTAAGAGGATTGTCTTCCTAAAGCTATGAGACCAGACCAAAGATTTTCACCACCTTTCGTTGTCCAGAGGCATGACCCACTTCCACTACTGTCTTGAAAACTTCTGTTAAGAAATGAACTTGGGGAGGCGAGAATCAATTATACTACCCAGGAGGGCTATTAAGCTCTACTGTCTGCATTAATTTGCTCATATCTTTGGCTACTCTGCAGTGAAGACTTGTGTGGGCAGTGTAGTGCCTACTAAGAATGCCTTATTGGGAGATATTGCACATCTTCTCTATCCAGGCTAAGGGAACAATAATGGAGAGCATTAGCAGAGATCTAGCTAGTCTGTATAAACACACCCTGAAAAACATGTTGCTGGCAAGTACAAAGTAGCCCACTATAGTGCGAGTTAGTAGCTATCTTGCAAAAATAGTCACCCTGAGTTCACAAGAGAAGTGTCCATCTAGAGGAGTAGTGCAGAGTGCTGGGTGGCTGTGCATGCATTTCCCCCAGTCCCCCTAAGAAAACAGACCAGAATCACTGTTGTCTCCTCAGGTGACATGGAGTGTATGGAAATAATAGCCAAATCCCAGGTGCTTTCTACTTCCCAGCATATATGCTTCCTTTCAAAAACTAGTAGGATGCAAGGAGGTACAGTCCTTAGGCTCAGGGGAGTACAGCCACACTTGTTTCCCAGAAGGACTGGCCCTTTGCAGATGCTTTGTTCCCCAAGTGCAACACGCAGAGGAAAGCTCTGCTCACGTGCACTGCACTCAGACCTCCATTGTGATCTCAACGTCGATGCAGTTAGGGAAAGAAGTAAACATGCACTTTCATTTCAAACAAATAGCAACTATGACCTAGTCAAAGATGAAACTGCACATGAAGCTGGTAGGGTATTTTCCTCTTCTTATCTTAATGTCAGTATATTTATAAATATGTACAGGAGTTCAAGATAGCAGGATCATTTGAAGACACAGCCTTTAGTCTCTATAATCTTACAGTCACTGCTCAGTTACGTTCTTTTAATCTATACTGGCATTTAGCAACCGATAGCTTAATTTAATAAACTGCTGATTCATATTATGATGTGCCACACCAAGCAACCTGGCAAGCATATGCCCCAAAAGAGAAATTCTCCCACAAAAGCTAACACTCATGGATGGTTTCTTGACTGGAATAACCAACAGAAAAGAAGCCTTGAAGTAGGAGGTACAGCCTAACTGTGAGCACTGAACATCTTTTCTGGACATATTTTCCCTCAAGGCAAAACAGTAATTTTCAAATACAAGTGGGAAATTCAAAACTGGAAAAGGAGCATGTAATGCAATGAGCTTGTTTAACTCAGTAGCACAAAGTTTCATAAAGAGAGCTGCAGAAAGCCTTTGGACATTCTTGGATTCATTTCCTTGCCACAGCTTAAGCCATGCTGCAGCTCTTTAGCTTAACTGTAAAGTTTTCTTTATCAAGACCAAGAATCAATTCATTAAGATAAAGAATTTAGTAGCATTCCTGAAAGGCTTAGAAACGTGTATAACTAAGGGCATCCAGAGCTAATATAGCCAGGATCATTGATTTCCTCAAAGAAAAATAAGGATTTCCACAGCAGAGCACAATAGTTTTTAGCTGTGAAGTTTTAGAGAAGGGCTGTGCCAGGGTTATCGTGCAACTTCCTACCCTCAGGGTTTATTTTCGTCTACGTCTTAATCAGCCGATATCATCTATCAGAGATAGATGCTGCTTAGATCCAGATTACCAGTTCTGATGCTCCTGATTTGCAACATTTTCTTTCTGCTGTAACTTTAAGAGTCTCTGGGAAATTCTGGGAGATTTTAGCATGCAAGTCCCTTCCTCCTAACAGGGCTTTCATGCACATCGAAAGATCAGCTGAAGTGATATATTCAAATGTAAGTTTTTCTTAGAGCACAACTTCCCCTCACAGTGGTGGCACGTGTTGCAACACTGACTGCCAGGAGTGAAATTTAAAGTTCCTTTGGAACTGTTCTGTATAAAGTTCCTTTGGAACTGTATAAAACTGGATAAACCAGTATCTTTTTCAAAGACAATCTTATCACTTAGTCACAGTATAACAGTAATGCATTAAAGTGTAACAAAATTATTTCATAGGTCAAGGTTTCTCACTTGTAATTGACAGCTCTGTTTCTAGACTGGTTTAAGGAGGCTGAAACATGAAAGGAGATGCCACTTGCTGTAAAACAGAATACACTATTTTGAAATATATGTATATATTCTGGGGTCATTTCTGTGGTTTAGGAACATAAAAAATATTCACTATGAACTCTGAAAGGATTTGGCACAGTGAATTTACAGGAAAGAAAGAGGCAGGATTTCTGCAAGAATAAAACCATTCAGGAACTAATTCCCCAATGCATTTGTTTTAGAAATACCTAGTGATTTGTGTAATTCCACATTTAGCTGACAGTCATCCATTTTTGCACATGTCAAAGCTTAAAACTGAGCATAGGTCAATGAAACAAGTCTGCAATTCTGCTGTAGCAAGAATTATATCTCAACATACATATTTAGCATCTAACAGATTAAAACCCCAAATCCCCTGAAGATCTTGTTCAAGTGCCTTTGTTTCAGTTAAATTTCACTAAAAGTATCTTCCTTGCTTCTCCTCCCCAGCTATTTTACCAAAAGCTTGCTATTCCTGTTTCAGGTGGTTTTTTGCTTGTATTACTTTGGTTTTGTTTTGATTTTCTTTTCAAGTGTACTCTAATTTTTGTCTATCAAGTGGCTATTTCTAAACCAGAGATGAAAGACTCTAGATTAGCCAATAACTATTCTATAGAGAGAAATGACTTGTTCATAATCCACTCACATTTTTGGCAGCTGTCATACTGCCCCAATATTTCTGGTTTTCCACAGAGAAATTTTCCCAAGCAGGGATAAAAAGGAGGAGGTGTTTCTGGTTCCCTGGTCAATATTTATCTCGATTGTGAAAATGCTAAATTTGAGTCATCAAGCAAAACCTCTACCAAAGAGCCTGAGGACTAATATTAAGTGACCCTTTGCCCTCAGGCTGAAGTGACCCTTTACCCCCAGGCTGAAGCCATGCACCAGAGCTGTGACAGTGAAGGACCTGACTTGCTGTTTACCAGCCCACACTAATGGGTGCTCAGCAGGGCAGAAGGGTGTGGCACCACGGTGACCAGAAGCACAAGCTATCGTTGATATCAATTCCCTGGGGGCTCTGACCAGAGTGTTATCATCCAAAGCCGCCTTTTGCACTCCTGACATCCAGAAGGTTATCGGCAGTGGCTGCAGAGCAGAGCTATTCTGCCATGTCATGAGGAGCTTGTGTCCTTGTCTCTGCTGTTGCAGCTCGCTGTGCCTGAACACGTGCCCAAGTTGTCACACTGGGTAACCCGAGTTCACTCCACCTGCCCTGCCTGGAGGGGCACAAGCATAAGACTGGCCAGACTGACTCAAAGGGCCCATCCAGCCTGGTATCCCATCCTCAGCAGTGGGCATTAGCAGACACCCACAAAGAGAACAGGACAAGCATGTCATCCTTGTCTTCCTCTACCTCCAGCTATTTGCAGCTGAGGGAACTGGCTTAAAATCTGATGAGGTTTGTTCATGTGCTAGAACCTTCCAGTTATTTTCATCTAGTTCCCAGTAATTTCACATGTGGCCTGTAGCACTTGTATTGAAGGGAGATTACACAACTGATTCATCTCCACATCGCTCAGTCTATATACTTCTATTATATTCCTCTCAGTCTTCTGACTTATTCCCAATACAGAAACTGTTCCATACCTTGCGTCAAACTGTTTTGCCTCCTCTGGACCTTCTCCAGATCTCTCATATGCTGAGATGAGAAAAGCAGTGCATCATACAGTAACCTAAGCACAGATGAACCGTAGGTTTATGCAGCAGTCTTCTGATTTGGCCTCTATCTTTTTCTAGCACTCAATTTGCTTCACCACCCGTAAGCACTAAACTGACAGTTCCACAGGATTATTTATCCTAACCTTAGATTAAAGTTCAAGCTAGGCCCTACTCTGAGTGAGCTTCCTTGCCTAGACCTGTGCCAGAGTGTGAGACAACACACAGGAATTGTGCAAAAACATGAAGTAATATGACAGCATTGCACAGCTTGTTCTTCAAACCAATGCAGTCACCCACATGCCTGATAAAAAGCAAAGTGGAAAGCCTTGGAGACTTTTGGTATACTTCTTGTTCACAAAGAAACCTCAACAAAATAACTAAAGGGCAAGCAGGCAGGAGGAATCATGTTCTCACCTTATACCTCAGGAGGGAGATGGCTTTAGGTAAATACAGTAGAGAAGCACGAAGAGCTCATATTGCACTCCTCCTGTCCTGATCTTGATCTGCTCTTATTCTTTCACCTGGAAAAAAGCATATATGAAAAGTTTAAGCAAATTCACTCCTAGGTTTGCTTCAGGAGTTGCTGTTATTCATGCATATTTCAAAGAGATGAAGTACATGCTCAGCCAGCGAATGTACTGAACCTCTAACTAATCTGGAAAAGACACAATGGATATTAAGCAGCCCCAAGATAACGTGCAGGACTTCTAAAGTATTCCCTACCCTTACTGCAGCCAGGAAACACAGACAAGGCTGTGGAGCCCAAGAGCCAAATCTCCTGTGTGTCTGCTACTCACAGTGCAATGTTAAACCGCCTTTTGCATGCAGGCTTGCTAGAAAAGCAGTCCATTCTGTTGGCCTTCCATTGAGTTTTGCTTCTCCACTTCAGGCCAACAATGCCAGCACACATCCAAGCACTTTTGTACCACATCGTTCTCCATCTATTGACTCTTACTCCATCTTCCACTGTGGCCTACCTTACAATCTTCATTCTTCTCTCCCTGCAACCTTTCCCTACCCTTTTATCACCCCTGAGCCCACTGAGCTATGTTAAAAGCTTTTCTATTAGTGACCATGAAGAAAGCAAGCCAGGCATTCATAAATGTCTCAGCAGCAACAATAAGCCATGTGCCAGTTGTCAATTTGCTTATTTTTGATGTTCCCACTGTGGTAAGTTGTAATGGAAACATCAATTCCTAGGTTTTTGGCACTCAGCATTCAGTGCATTGCAAAGTCAATGCCTCTGGAAAAATCAAGTCACACACCCTGCCATGGGCATGTTTTGTGGCACTTTGGAATTCAGCTCTTGGCCCAGAAATGCTCCAGCATGCTGACTGGTACTGAAAAATGCACTGCAAAGAGTCAAGACTCCAGAGTTGAGAACTGAGTTATTGGACAAATGTCTTCCACTAGAAATACTGTTGAGGGAATTTATAAGTTCAGTTAAAAATATGTAATAATTTCAGTTACATCTAAATATTATGAAATTTGAATACCAAGACAATATATTTTATTTCTTCATTTACATTATTTAAAAAAATATTCTAAAAATTTCAATTTAAGATTAAATAGAACAAGGAAAGTAACATGCTTCATTCCATTCTAAAAGGAATTTTTATTTTCTCACATCACTTACCAAGACTACTACCATCAGTCTACATGAATACACCCCACACTTTATTCAACTCTTCAATTGAGCCTGTGAATAAAATATCAAATATGAGCACAAATATATGGGAAATAAATTGTACTTCATACAAGCTTTGCAAGGTAAAAAAACTATCACTGTCAAACAATTATCTTGAATTACTTTGCTTTTCCATTTCATAGATTTTAATTTGAATGTAAGCATACATGTGATTACAAAAGAGCAGCTGCACTTACAGTTAAGGGTAGACGTGATAAAGTACTTTTGCGGAGGAAAGGATTTGGTACAGTGCTTAGTATCCTCAAGTTCTTTGCTAAATCAAAGCGTTCACTTCAGGTCAAATATTATGGCAGTCATTTATCTTAAGATAGAATGAGACAAGAGTAGCGTTAGCAAAATAATTTTAATTACATGCATCTGTACAATTATGCAAGTTTTCCCTATATCCCTCCAATTTTTATGAAATATTTCACCTGTGTTAATATAAACTATTATAATGGAACATAATTTTAGAAAATATGCAGGGTCTTTTAGTTTCCCATAAAACCTTGCTACAGGAGCCACTTAACTTTGGGATGCCATCATATCTTGAAAGTGAAGCACATTCAGTATAAAGTCTTAATGGTTTTCTCCCTATTCTGTCATTCGGGAAAGGGTAAGAAAACGTGTCCTGCTGTTAGTCTTGGAACACCATTAAAAGTCAGAGTGTCGTTACTAAGCTGTGTCCTCAGACTGCACAGTTCAAATACACAAAAGTGTAGTAGAAAATAAAAAAGTCCAATTAAAGGAGTGGCACACAAATGAATATACAATAGCAGAAATCCTCTTACAAAACAATAGTAGAATTTCATAAGGAAAAACTCCAATCTTAAACAGGGTGTCTGTCTCATGAGTATCACTTAGGTGTGACTGGGTGTCAAATAAATGCTTTCAATCATTTAAGGACACAGAAAGAGTTCACAGAGATTGTCTGCTTAGCAATTGCTGTGACAGAGGTCAGGAGTGAACCCAGATCTCCTGGCCTGTGCTTCAGCCACGGGGTTATGATAGCACAAAAAATTATCCAGATTTCTTGCTGTGCTACAAGAGAACAACCTGTGTCACACCCTTCTCTACCCAAATACTGAGCATCTCAAAAAAGGATAGCCTATTGTATTAGAAAGTTTGAAGTGATTTACAATAGATATTTACAATACAAGTCTATTTTTAGTTATAGAATATGATCCCCCAGGAATGAATTCACATTTGCATGCTGTGAGTGGGGTTTTTTTGGCCCAAGATGCCTGTGCAGTCTCCTCAGCCACAGAGCACCCTGTAACATACCCAAGCACTGTTCAGGCATGTTCTGCTGTAAACAGGCATCTCTTCTGCTACAGCTGCTAAACGCTTCAGCATCACTAGGATAGAGTGCATTTAGTATCAGTCATTCTTCCGGAAAACCCCCAGCAATCCCTGTGAAATAGGCCACTACAGGAACAGTCCGATTTAGATACACCTGCATCTTTATAGCTACATTGAGTTTCACAGATCTCCAAAATGTTGCCATTTTCTACAGAAACTTGGCATATTTTCCAATATACAAGCATTTATTTCCCAACATGTATGTGAATAACTAAAACAAGCAGTCTATTACAGCAAGTTTGTTGAACTTTGTTAAAACTATTTGTATGCTGCATTTATTCTGGAGGCATGTTTGTCCCACACGTTCTGATCTTATCTTTAGGCTGTACTGAGAAATTACTTCCATGAACTTTGGAAGGTCAACTTGTTAAACATCTATCCACTCTCCCCTATTTTTCCTAATCTTCTAGAAATAATAATTAACTTAATTTTCTGAGAAGGGTATCGTGACTTTACTACCCAATTCATGTTATGTGTTTCAGATGACTCATATACTGCACCTATGTTGCCTCCAAGGGTTTTTCCCTACAAAAACTCCTTACTGAAACTTACCAAATTATATTTTTTCCTCTGTTCCTTATTTCTTCAGCCAAGAAACAACATACTTTTCTAAAACTTGCAAAACATGGCTTCATGCCCTGGTACAGGTATAAGCTCGTCAAAAGCAACAGGCCATGAAGCAGAGAGTTTGCATTTGGGACTCTGTTGGGAAATGAAACAATTGAGTCAGGCAGAACTCTATGCCAAACCTCTTCTGCCTAATATCAAATCCAGTCCTTTAAAGATTCTGCCAGAGTCTTTGGAAATCAGTTGCCCAATACCACTTTGGGAATAATACTGGCATATTCACTGGAGCCAAGCAGATATTTCGGCAGCTTGCTGCAGAAGTGTTTGGTGCATCAAAATAATGTGCCTAGCACAGGAAGACAGGTTCACTAGTTACAGCTAGCAGAGAAAAAGAGCCGTAAGGGAAATAAACCCATCTCTAGCTGATTAGGTGCAACTTGGAGGAAACTTGCTAGTTTCAGCAGCAGCCAGCTTCCACCAGCGGAGAGAGGTGTCACACAACACACCCTATTCCACAGGACATTGCTCACCACAGAATCGTCCTACAAACTGGGAGATACAGATCATAGTGTATTGCATTTGAATGAGATTAGCCCACATCTCCAGAGATGCCTTGTCTATGGAGAAAATCACCTGTTGGGAGGCCAGCAGGTAACCCATGTCCCGCTAAAACAAACAAAACCTTGCTGGTTTGTTTATTTAAACTGCTAAACAAAGCTGTTTTGAAAGAACTCTAAGACATACAAAAAGTGTCTGAGCAACACACTAAAACAAGCCTGAATTTCAAGTTTATAGACTTTCATTATAACAGACTAGTCTCAGGTATCATGACGAAGTTCTTTCTGGATGAGTATCAGTGACAGATGAAAGGGATTTTGTTAGTTGAGATACCATACGATAGCTGTCAGAATTGGTTACAACCTTAGCCTTAGTTCCTTTCAGAAGCAATGCTTTTTCATAAAAACTAGGATCATTTTCCTCCAGGTTTTATTTAGTTTATTGTTGAGCAAGGCAGTCTAAGTGATAAAACAATAAACATTTTTCAGCTTGTAAATGCAGCTCATATATGTTAATTACCCACTTGAATCTCTTCATCTAAAGCACTAACAAGAATGAGGCTGCTGGGGATGAAGGTGTCTGTCAACATTCCTGAAAACTTACTTTTGGAACATCTTGTGTGTTTTGTTTTTAAGAGGGATCTCAGCCAAATCACACCACATTAAATAGGAAGGCCTGTTGAAGCAAAGGTAAGCATTCCTATTAGTTTCAAGGGCATTTGGATTAGCCTCCCTACATAATTGTTATATTTTGATGGGTTTGTAATATAGGAAAAGTTAAAATGTTTTTCCATACTTCAAGGCAGTAATCTCAAAGTCTTAGGAAGAAACCTGGTAAAGAAGATTAATCAAACTAGGATCAGATCGCTCCTTTTCTAGTAGGGCTTTGCATATTTCCTAGCAAACACACTTGCGTTTCTAATAAAGGAAAAAAGGTAAAGTAATATTTAAGATGAACATAAGTCTTTTCTAGAGATTTGACCTGGACCAGTCTCCCTTCATCCTACATCTATCAAAGGATACACAAATGTGTTTTTCAGTCCATGTACATAGATAAAACACAATAACAGTAACCATTATAAAAGTACAGCCTATGGCTCTGTTGTCTGTCAGTCCCTCTCCATTTCTTAGGGATATGCTCCTAACCTATCTCTGGAACAACCTCTACCAAAGACATTTATTCAGACTCTTCTCAGAAGACAAGAGAGATGAAAGACAGTGCATGATTACTCACACAGTAAATACACAGCCCTATATGATACAAGAGTATTAAATGTTTGTGCAAAACACTGAGTTAATAAATAAAACCAAATAGATTATAGAAACCTCGATCTGCTTTCAGTTCTATCTATGGTAGTGGCTTCTTTAAGTTGTATCTGCAAGCCTTTTCTTCCCTTGGCTCACAGCAGCAGCCTGTGCAAATAATTTCGAGTTGATCTGAACACAGTAAGTTGCAGCCTACCACATGGACCTTCCATTTATGTGAAAATAGGAGTTCAGACATCACTTTCTTGCTTTTGAAATATCTTCAACTGCTCTTTCAATTCCCTGACTGCTGCTGAGAGCAGCACAAATGGGCTCTAGTTTCTCACATCTAACATCTGCACACTTTTAGGCCCTTACGAAAGCTGGGCAGACAACTCCTGAAGTGCCAGTTTGAGACTGACGGGTACATTTTAACCTTTCAGCTCCAGGGTTTTATTTATGCTGACAAAGCCAGGATGCTGTCCTCACCTACTCTGATGAGACCACACTGATCACTTGTCTCTTAGCTTCCTCCTCCTTGACTCATCTTATTAAATGTCTCCCAGCAAGTTCACTTTACCTTTATTATTTTAACTGCCTCATTCAGGGTGTTTTATTAGATCTCAAGGAAAAAAAAAAAAAAAAAAAAAAAAAAAAAAAAAAAAAA